GTAACGAGCAAACATCAGAATTTTATGGCGGTGCATCGAACCCCGAATTTCGCCGTTCGAAGACCTCCGCGTTCCGGGGTTAATTTGAAAGTACGCGCCCGATAAATCCCCGCGGAAGTCTTGCGTTGCTTTTTGTGCGCAAAAGATGCCAGTTGCATTCGACCTGGGGTCCGTGACTTATGGCCGATCGGCCAGTATTTTTTCTCGCGGCTGAATCGCCGTTTCGTTGTCACAGCATACGCGTATTATGGTCTCGATAAATCTTTATTCGTTAGATCGATAGTAATCGGGGCAGATGCCCATACACAGTCCATATCGAAGAATTTAACGAATGTTTTTCACTTTCAAGAAAAGAATCTAAAATAAATTAAAGTATCTAAAATAAATTCATGAAATAAAATAGATTTAAGTGTTTGTAGGATCTATTTTTTCTAAGACACAAATTTCCCTTTTATTATAAGGGATTTGAAAACCATTGATAAATCTATAAATGTATTCCAGCATCGTGATCAGAACATTTTTGACATTTGTGAAAAAAGTCGATACCAAAATGATTGGGAGAAACTCACGGAAGTAAAAGGATATTATTTTATTTACTAAAAATATATGTCACACGATATTTCAATTTAAAACTAATTTTAGGAAAAATAAAGAATTTGTTGGAAAAAAGAAGTTTCTATGCCTTACGGTTCGTTTCTCTGAAATTCTTATTATTTCTCAAAATAATTGGCGACTTTTAGGACACCCTGTAGTTTAAGAGGTATTTAATGCTAAAGCAGAGTCGTACAATAACCGATAAAAATTCGTACAGGCATGATGAATAATGTAAAAGTCGCCGTTTTCGTTTATACTGTGTCGAGCGTAGAAAATGAGGACCACAAATCAAGAAAATGGTGGGTGCATCCTATAAACACTCTGTCGCCGACGTTGCGTGGTCGTCGCTCGTATGACTGCTCGCGTGCATTACAATGCAGAGAGACGAGCAAAACTCTTACACAGAAAGAAATTTTACATATAAAATAAAAGTTAAATAACTTTCCATGCATTATCTGCTAAATAAACACTGTCAAGTGCAAAAGAATACGTTTGTATTCACTACGTTTTAGCCAAATTCGTTCTCGTTTCGAATAAACAAGATGGCCGCGATCATGGATACCGATAGAACGACCTTTCATAAAAGCGACCACAATTTTAACTACGTTTCGTCGAAAAAGTTCTAAAATGTTATTCAAACGCGTATAAATAAAATTTGTAAACTTGGCTGCGGAAAGTGCCATAATTTCTTTAGTGAAAAAAAACAAAGATAACCTTAATTGGTTGTAACGTCGCGTATGACGCGTCCGTGCACCAAGTTCGATTAAAATCGCGTTGCGAGCGTCGAGAGGTTCGCTTAACCGATGTGGCAAGAAAACCGATAAGGATCCGAGAACCTGGTGTGTGGTCCGTTGTGTGTGAATATGCGTTTAATCTGAACGCAAAGCCTCGTCCCGACGCGAGTTCCTCGTACGGGAGGCGCCAGTTGGTTAACTGTTCACCCCGACGAGCGATGGCTTAATTAAGCGACACGAATGCCGACCATCTCAACACTTCTATAAATCACCAGAAACCCGAGTCGCTATTCTCGATTCCGTGTCTCTAAAATGCCGTCAAGGCCAAACAATGCCGCTTCAAATTCTAATTTACCATTATTCCGGACATCTTTGTTTCGAAAATTACTCTACGTTGTAAATTGTACAAATTCCAGCCGAATTAAATATCCCTACATCATAGACGGAATCTAGACATTTGTACACATATAAATACTTCCAACGTTTAATAAGTATTTTAGGTTATTTTTTTGGCGAGTATCTATTTTACTAAACTGGGTTATGTAAGACAGAGTCGGGCAAATTTCATTGACAAACAACGAATAAAAATGTTAAATCTGCTCGTAAACTAATTTCTGCTCGCTCAAAATTAGTTTTAAAGAAAACTTTGCAAATAAATTTTAAAATTTTATTCTTCGTTCGCGAGTGAAATTTCTGCAACACGAACGTGTAAGAATCGATCGTGTGGATGTCGCGATTAACGGGAAATCGTCATACGGGTTGACTCTCGAAGGCTGAGAAAATTGAATAATGACACGATAACGACAGACGTATCGCGTTATCTGGCCTCTAATTTCTAACGACAAGATATATTCCGCAATTAAATCGAAAGCGTACGGGAGAAAAGGTGAGGAAGAGGGGGGGCCCGCACGAGGCGAGCCGACCGCCGCGGGGTCTGTTTTGCATAAAAATTATAAGCAGAATTAATGTTTTCACCTCCGTAAAACGCGTACACGCGTTCGCTCATGTTCGTGTGCATCGCGCTTCACGGTCGGCCGATGCGTGACTAACATAGTGGTTTATTGCACGTTAATACTGATCCAGTACCTCCCGTACTTTCTCACGCGGCGATCTCGACCCGCCCTTTACACCTCTCCAAACAATCTGTTCACCTTGTCCTACAAAGTTTAACCGACGCAATTAGCAATTAAATTCGCTCTTTCCAAACAGAGGTCTCCGTGTCATTCTAAATCACACGCGTGGTTAATGTATCTGTGTAACGTCTTAACTACTTTGGCGTTCATCGACGACCTAACCCTAATTTGGCGAGTACGTTACTCTGCCGCATTCAGATTCTAACCCCAACGTTACGGGACTCGTAGATATTATTCGTTAGCAAATTATGTTGAATTGATGTAACGATATGAACATATGTACCTTGATTAAAATGAGAACTGCATTTTAGTCCAGATCGTTACGAAATCGAATCGAGATTCTCAAGGCAGTGTCGCGAGTTGTCCGCGGTGAAAAGTAGATCGTATCGCTGTCACATTGTTGTAACGGTACTGCATTTCTCGAATTTCTCATTACAGTAGCACTTGAAACTTTTACTATTCAACGTGACACATAAATATCGTAATGTAGCATTCTTTCTACTTCACACGATTTATTAACTACAACGACTATTTTACCGTAACGACGCCTATGGTCTTCCATCGTCGACGTACACTCAACCTAACCCTAACTTTAACGGTCCCTGGCGGTAAACTACGCATATGGCGGCAACGTTCGAATTAGCGATGGAATCTCCATAGAATTATTCTTTGAACTTTGAACAAATGCAGGTTGATACTAAAAGGATATTTTCGTGTATCAGAATTGTTCTTTTGTCGAAGATATACAGGGGGAAAAATTTTAATGGGAGATTCTAGAGGCAAAAATAAGACGAAAATCAAGAATACTAATTTGTTGATGGAACCGTACTGAATTTTTTTCTCGAAAATGCGCAGGATTTCGGGGATATGTCTACTCACCAAAAATTATTGTAATTGACCCCTGCAAACGAAAATAATTTTTTTAGAATGATTTGAAATTTTGTTTTCCGTCGAAAAATTACACACCTTCTCGAATTTTTTTTCTAGAAAGTGGGTAGGATTTCGGGGGTATGTCTATTCACCAAAAATTATTGTAATTAACTCCTGCAAACGAAAATAATTTTTTTAGAATGATATGAAATTTTTTAATTTTGTCGAAAAATTTGTCCACCTTCCTGAATTTTTTTCTCAAAACTGAGTAGAATTTCGAGGGTATGTCTAATGACCAAAAATGATTGTAATTGACCTCCACAACCGAAAATAATTTTTCCAGAACGATTCGAAATTTTTTTTGTCGCCGAAAAATTTAGGCACCTACCCATGTCGATTTTTCATAAAAATTCGTTTTTGATTTGTAATAAATTTGTTTGACGCTCTACAGAAAAGTTGTTTAATTCCTTTTTGTAGGTGCCCATGAGTTCTACTTCAGAAACAAGTTTCAATAAAATACAGTCACTATTATAGGAGTTATGGTCGCTGGAATATTGGACTGTTTTTATGAACTTTTTCTCAATTTACAGTGTCAAGGACCAACTTTTTCAATATTGTTAGAATTTCTATATATTCTCCACTAAAATACGCGTTGTTTGCATTTCGAAAAATTAAAATCCTCCAATCCGTTCAGGAGTTATAACATTTTAAAGATTCGCATGAAATTGCTGGCCTCATATTATATTTTTTTTTTCTCGAAAATGGGTAGGATTTTAAGGATTTGTGTATTAACACAAAATGATTGTAATTGACCGCTGTAATTAAATATAATTTTTTCAGTATGATTTGAAATTTTCTAATTTCTTCTAAAAATGTCAGTACCTACACGAATTTATTTCTCGAAAATGAGTAGGGTTTCAAGGATTTATATATCCACAAAAAATGATTACAATTGACCACTGTAACTAAATATAATTTTTTCAGTATGATTTGAAATTTTCTAATTTCTTCTCAAAATTTCAATACCTATTCGAATTTTTTTCTCGAAAGTGAATAAGATTTCAGGGTATGTTTATTCACCAAAAATGCTTGTAATTGACCACTGTAACTAAATATAATTTTGCAGTATGATTTGAAATTTTTAAATTTCTTCTCAAAATTTCAGTACCTACACGAATTTTTTTCTCGAAAATGGGTAGGATTTCAAGGATTTGTGTATTCACAAAAAATGATTGTAATTGACCGCTGTAACTAAATATAATTTTTTTAATATGATTTGAAATTTTTTAATTTTGCCGGAAATTTGTCCACCTTGCTGAATTTTTTTCTCAAAACTGCGTAGGATTTCGGGGGTGTGTCTACTCACCAAAAATGATTGTAATTGACCCCCGCAACCGAAAATAATTTTTCCAGAACGATTTGAAGATTTTGAATTTAATTGTTAATAACTTTTTAACGAGGCCACAATCAACAAATTGATATTCTTGATTTTCGTCTTATTTTGTCCTCTGGAATTCCCCATTAAAATTTTTCCCAGGGAAGATCGAACACCCTGTATTATTAAAACACAATAAATCTGATGTTAATAAGACGAACAATCTCAGAATCATTTTTTTTTAATACAGAGGGGAATCGACCGATTCGATAAAGAATTATTATTTGTTTACAGGTGGTTTGGCTGACCGCAGTCCTGTGCCCGCGGCTTGCTGCCGCCAACAACCATAGCATATCCTTCACCTCTCGTAAGCTCAGGGAACATCCTTCGAGAGGACGCACGTCTCGCTGGTAAGCCTTTAAATTTCTCCCGATTTCCCATAAGCATCCACTCCGCGATCGCCACGCTTCGGTGAACGTTTCCGCGACAATCGATCCGATCTATACGCCGCGCGACCAACAAAATTCCTCAGGCAACGTTCAACGTTTCGCGTCATCGCCGATTTATCGACGCACGCGCGACATATTCCGGATCAGGTGAATTTCAATTTTCAATCACCGCCAGCCTCGATCTATATCCTCGTCGGCGTTAGACGGCTCGCTCATTATTTATCGGTCTCTGTCAAGCTGTCTTAATTATTATTAATGACCCGCGCGAAACGTACGAGCGGCGAATACGGGATCGGACGAAGATATCGTTTTACAAGCGGTTCTTTTGCGCCGAGCTGCATTCTGTCGCGCGTTTCGGACACGAGCCGCCGCGCCACCGGCACGAGCGGAATGTTATTTCGCGATCGTGGCTCCCCCAGCCCGTCAATCTTTAAGACTGGAACTACCAAACCAAACCAATCAAAATGATTCGTAATTTCTAATAAAACTTGTAAAAAATTCACTCGACTGAATTTTTGAATATTTATCGTAATTTTCTATAAGAGAATATATAAACACTTATTTCTGTGGTACGAATAAACACACTATAATTGTCGGTAATTCTAGTGTTAATCGAGGTCGAAAATATTTTTCACCAAGAAGAAAATTCAGGGACAATTTGGAAAAAAAATTCCTTTTTTCTAATTTCCTTCACAGGATACTGTCATAACGTAGAAATATGCTTCATTCGCTGATTGTATCTCAGAAATAATGTAGAGGTCTTTATAAAAAAAATAATGAAAATTGTTGAGAAATGTACCGATCGTTAAGTCTAGGTCCACGTTTTAACGAAAGTAAAAGTTAGGAATAGTTTAAATTATAAATTTCAAAAATCAATGTCATCTATGAATGTATAATAACTATCTGTTCTTCCAAATCGTGCCCTGAACATTTGTACGAGTCGACGCGTATTTTTACCGGAGCCTCTGACCCACCGGAGCGATCGTTCGCAGAAACTGCGACGATTTCTAACCGATGGCCGTGGATTTTTTCAGGACGCAGACCTTCGACGCAGACCCGAACAAGCGAATGACATATCGGGAAATGAACACGATTCTGCGACAGGAGGGAGGCGAGAACGGCCATCAAGTCGATTGCTGTCCTACGGTATTGGAAATGGTGGAACCGGTCGGCGGTCGAAATCGTGACGACATGTACGTACAGCTCTATCGGGAAGGCCAGAACACCCAGAGGTTCTTCGAGTACTCGTGCAGGGAGGACGTACTCGACAAGCCGTGCAGGTTCATCGACCGGAAGTTCAGCAACCAGTCCAAATGTGTGCAGAAGTTCTCGTACACTTACGCTATCATTGAAAATTCTGGACCGAAGGTACGGTGGAATTGAGAACTAGCTCGTCTATGCTTTCGATTAGTCTCGAGTCTGCCTCGTACGTTGGACGAACTCGTTCTTCCGTTACTTTTCGAAACGCTCTATCGACGATCGATTCGCGATCTCCGGATGTTCTTTGATGGGTAAAATAAATAATAGGTTTCACGAGACAACAAAGACGGTGATTAAACAATACGTTCGAAGGTTTATCGAGTTAAGTCACCTTCTGGCAACTTCTTCGAGACGAAGGGAAGATTTTACATTAATAAATTTGTTATCTCTTCTTCCTAACTTGAAAATTGTTATACGTTGTTTGCAAAATAAAATTCTATACGTTTCTAATATATTCTCTCTAAAGTACGGATGATGTTTCCGGTGTCAGAGTTAACTAACGAATTTTCTTGGTTTATGGCCAATGAAAATCTATAGAACGAATTAACTTTTTGCTCGACCTGGGAAAAATTTTAATGGGAGATTCTGGAGGCCAAAATAAGATGAAAATCAAGAATAGCAATTTGTTGATGGAGGTTTAGTTAAAAAGTTATTAATGTTTAAAGTTTCACCTGTACTGAATTTTTTTCTAAAAAGTGGGTAGAATTTCGGGGGTATGTCTAATAACCAAAAACTATTGTAATTGACCCCCGCAACCGAAAATAATTTTTCCAAAACGATTAGAAATTTTGTAATTTTTGTTGAAAAATTTCACACCTCGAATTTTTTTCTCGAAAGCGGATAGGATTTCGAAGGTATGTCTAATGACCAAAAATGATCGTAATTGACCCTTGCAACCGAAAATAATTTTTCCAGAATGATTTGAAATTTTTCAATTTTGCCGAAAATTTGTCCACCTTCCTGAATTTTTTTCTCGATACTGCGTAAGATTTCGAGGATATGTGTAATGACCAAAAATTATTGTAATTGACCCCCGCAATCGAAAACAATTTTTCCAGGAAGATTTGAATTTTTTTAATTTTGTCGAAAGATTTCATACATTCTCGAATTTTTTTCTCGAATGTGGGTAGGATTTCGAGGGTACGTCTATTCACCAAAAATGATTGTAATTGCCCCCCGCAGACGAAAATAATTTTTCCAAAACGATTTGAAATTTTTTAATTTTGTCGAAATTTTCATACCTTCCTGAATTTTTTTCTCGAAACTGCGTAGGAATTCGGGGGTAGGTCTATTCACAAAAAATTATTGTAATTGACACCCGCTACCGAAAATAATTTTTCTAGAATGATTTGAAATTTTTTAATTTTGCCGAAAATTTGTCCATCTTCCTGAATTTTTTTCTCGAAACTGCGTAGGATTTCGGGGGTATGTCTAATGACCAAAAACTATTGTAATTGACCCTCGCAACCGAAAATAATTTTTCCAAAACGATTTGAAATTTTTTTTTCCGTCGAAAAATTACACATCTTCTCGAATTTTTTTCTCGAAAGGGGGTAGGATTTTGAGGGTATGTCTAGTGACCAAAAATGATTGTAACGTGACTATAATAATTTCTGATCGCCAACATTCGTTAAAAATACTTGATATTTTTGTCATACTTCTAAAAATATCGTAAAAAAAACAATATGTTCGGTCAACCCTGTGTAAAATTTTAATGGTACATTCTAAAGACCAAAATAAGACAAAAATCAAGAATACCAATTTGTTGATCGATGCTTCATTATAAAGTTATTAACGTTTAAAGAACCACTAGCAGCTGTTCGCCGATTGCCGTTCTACAGACGCAACTATAAACGTTAATAACTTCTTAACGAAGCCTCCATCAAGAAATTGCTATTCTTGATTTTCGTCTTATTTTGGTCTCCAGAATCTGCCTTTAAAATTTTTTGGTCGTTCGTCGACGTAACGAGTTTAATAGTGTCGTTTTGTCGAATAGGGTGGAAACGAGGGGCACAAGAGGCATCACAAGAAACATTTGACGCTCACCGGTAACACGGAGGGCGGATCGATGTGGACGTTGGACTACATCAGGGTACGAAGCGGCTGTAGCTGCGAGGTCACGCCTAAACCGAAGAAGAGGAAGAAGTGCAAGAAGTGCAAACCAAGGGACCACGATTTCTTCAGCCCGGAAACGTGAGATCCGTGGTTCGAGGTGATCGGTACAAATCCTACCTCGAGACTCGTTGCACCACCGAAAACGACGCTGAGACTGGTCCCAGTTGTCGAAACGTTACCAACGTGAAAAGGTTATCTTATCGATGCATCGCGTCGCGACGTTCAAACAATACTAACGCCGTAAAGTGGCTTTTCTGAAAACCTGTATCGTTTGTACTAATAGATCGTCGACGTAATATCAACTGTGTGTGCTACGACGGATTTATCATCGTATTTATTATTAACATAGAGTTCTGATAGTACGTTAAGCGTTATGGAATAAGATTTTATAGAGATAGATCTCCGTTTAGTTTTATCATGCAGGGAATATAAATGTATCGTAACGAGTCTACTATAGTCGGATTAAATTCGATGGCCACTTTGCTGTAAATCACGATACCACTTTCATCACGTTTGCTTCTGTAGATAAAAAATTGTCGATATTTCAAGATTACAGATTTTCGAGAAAAGACGAGAAATAAAGCGGTGGGTAGTTGATTTTTATTCCGACTATGGTGCAACGAAGTCAGTAGAATCTCTCTAGAGGAATGGCGGACAGACTGAAGAATTCGAAACGTTCAATGACCCCCAAACACTTTAAACATGCTTTTTTTTCTAAATTATCGTCAATGTCAGGGTATACGCGTGCTAAAAGAAAGATATATTTTTTACTACTATTGTTAACAATAGATATACGTGTCTCGATCGAAGCTTGTATTTAACGCTCAGGCAACGATATCCGTTTTCGCCCGCGGCCAGTTCTTATCATACACTCCTGTACATTATAAAGTTGTGCCTATATGTAACATGCCGTAAGAGGAACGTAGGTTTTACAATTAATTCTAACGTAATTATAACACGTTATGTTTCATAGATCTGCGTAGGATTCGTTGTAGTATCGATAACGAGGGCCAAACGACGTTACTTAAGTTTATTTAATACACTAATCCTTTAATTACCTATAATTCTATCGCTATGTTTGTTTCGTTAAAGCACTGACTAGACGAGGATAGAGAATGCAACGAGATACGTTGCGTTAGCTAGTAGCCATGACAATTATCGATAAATCTGAGTATCTAATAGGGTAGAAACTGTTAAAAATTGGAGTAACTTGTTGTATAATCAAAAATATGAGTTACTGTACGAGTAGGTATTTTTATACAAAAAAAAGTAATTTTTTATACGTATACATAGATATGTGAAAATCTTACATTAATTTAACGCACAAGTTGTGAACACAAACATGCACATAATCATGAACATAAGGTTTCCACATTTTTAACAGTTCTTTAAAATTTACTTGCCCCTTTTGTACATATCAAAAACGTACAGAAATGTCAACGTAAATATCCTTCTTTATATACGCGTTGTATTAATGTAACATGTAAATTGTAAGCAAACAATCCTGTCGTTCAGGATTGAAAATATTCGATAACATTGTACTTAAATAAACGAGATCGCAGTAGTCAGATGTACACAGCCATAGCGCGAACCACGAACAAGCTATTACCACCAGTTCTCCATTTTAACATATTTATGAATGTACTATAGTAAATTATACCGTGTTTAACTAGTAGGAAACACCTCAACAATAAATATATTTTTTTTATCTCTGTAATTGTTGTATTAACATTTTAACAGGTGGCTTCAACTCGATAACACTCATGTATTATAATTACGCATCAGGCTGGCAGATTTATTTTCTGTATCGTCGTGTAAACATTGTACATAAACGAATACAATTGTTATAAAAAGCTACATGGTAATTTCTATTCCCGAAGTGAAATGCTATACGCAGTCTCGACGAATTGAAAAGAATCATCGAGTGCCACGAATTTAGCCACCGAGGCATCAATGAAAATATTCGAGGAAAGAAACATTCGTAAGCGACGAACTTACCTCGGCTGTTGTCCTTGGTCCGATCGATCTGTCCCTGCAAAACAGCTGTTCGGTCGTGACGATGACGCAGCCAGAGCCATCTTCTCACACTAATGCCGAATCACGCGTACGTGAGCTCGTAGAGTTTCGGGGAGTCGACAGAGGCGAACTGACGCATGCCCTCTTTCTCGGTTCGCCGAAGCTGCCCGAAGTAACTTCGGAGCGCCTCGGGGGAGTCGAGAGAGAAAGGCTCACGTTTGCCTTCTCGCTCTTGAACAACTGAAATCCTCACGTCAACAACATACGATTTAGAATCTCGACTATCCAGGCATTTTTATTTTTCGACCTATGTAGGCACACATGAGCACCCATAATGAAAAAACGAGCTCTACGAGTTAACGTACACGTGATCTGATATAGTATGAGCAGTGCACCCGATGTTGAATCTGGCATCTCTGATGCAGGCCCAAAGTTCGCTCACAAATGTCTGTAATCACAAACGCTAAACGTAAATCGCTATTTGGGAGACCGTGCAACATAATTCGACTCGAAAAACTAACCTGTATCGCGTACTAACCGCGTAGACTTAATAAAATCCTCTTGGCGTTGTGAGAACCAAGATTGACCTTCATGGACACGCGTTCAGTCGTCCGGCAAGTTGACTGTTTCGCGTATCGACTCGCAATTTTGCGTGGAACGTCGCACTATACAATGTTGTGCTCTTCTCGCGACGATCGCGGATAGAATGCCAACAAAGTCTTTTCGACGACCTTTTGTATCGCGCTATCAACTACCTGAGCCTCGACGACGCGATTGGTCCTTTCAATTTCTGGATGAACAAGGACGCTTCCTGTAGAAAAGGCAACAAGATTAAAGCTAACAATTTATTTTACAATTTTAGAACATTTTTATGACCGCATAATTCTCATACTCATGTTCTATTCGTGTAAAATCAACAAATCGTTAATAATCGTTTATTAAATAATTAATAATTCTGTATATTTTAGGAGTGATTAGGTCATTTAATTTGCCACGATTACTTCCATGTATGTTATAAAATAAACGCATGAAATATGTTACGCAACTAGTGGCGCCATCTTGTGTTTCGTTGCTTGAATAAAAACAAGATTCTAAATACTGTTTCATTTCATAAAGGTAAAATAAATTTCTTTTGACCGAATCATTCGTTTATAAATACGAACGAGTTCTCTTAGCCTAACCTAATTCTTGCAATGGCGACTTGATCTCTCCTTTGTAGAATAGAAGCAATCATTTATTTTTCGTAGATTGATTTTGATTGGATAAATGCTGTTTGTTTCCATTCTACGTCCCAACGGTTGATTATTTCTCTTTTTGTTGCTTTGTTAGTTCTTCCATAGTTCTGTAGATGCAGTTGGTAGGTTGACTGTTTCTTTAGCTCGCTTTAGCTGCTTGATTCGATTTATCGTTCGCTGGTAATCCAACGAAGGGATCCAAATGATATTCACCTTGCTGCCCTCTTCAACTATTCTGCGATATGCTTCGTGTATTCGGAAGACAATGTTATCCATTGTAACCATTCCTAGTTTCTATGTAGACTTTATCTTGTACGATTTGTATGGCGTGATTGATGATCATGAGCTCGACGGTGAAGATCGATGAAATTTTCTCCTTCGATTTAGTTAGGAATCCAGAATATTGAATGTGACACGAAAAGTGCAAGGGGACTCTAAGCAGTGATGGACATTCGTGGGCATTTTGGACATGCGCATTAGAATTTTCGTGGGATTCCTTTTTGCGCATGCGTTAGCTTTCTGCCATAGATGTATCTTCAGCGCAAGAAAAGGTGCTTGTTGAGAATTCCCATGTTTTATAGAAAATTGAATTTTCTACTTCAAATGCTCGCCAATCACACAAAAATTAACTTATCGAAGATCCCCTACGTATTTCTCTAGCTATACTCATCTAGATTAAGAGGAAATTTTTTGTTTTTGTCTCTTTCTCTGTAACTTTCTTAAATTTTGTTCCTTACTGGGATCCAACGGTACCCTGAATTCTAGTTAAGTGTATACGACAGTGATCAAAAATTCCCACCAAAATCCATCACTGTGAGATAAAATGTATGGTGAAATTCCGTTCTAACCTCTACCTCGCCTTATATTACAGGACAAATGGAATTCGAAATAAAAAACCACGTTAAATACCCTCCACAGTGTATTTGGTGACCTAGATTGCAATGAAAATATTAGATATAACATCGATGTACGAGATACTTTTCAATACGTTACTTAAATATCTATATAAGATACACATATTGTATAAGTAGATGACATAATATTACGATTTCATAGTATTCGACTCATTCGCTAACAAACAACATTTAATATGGTTTTATTTAGTATTTTCATTATTATTTTTTTTTTTTTTGCTTTTTTTTTACACGTAGAATATTATAACGACATTGACAATATATAATATATATCTGCTTTTTATCGTAGTGTTACAGAATATAATAACGCCTGTGTAATTCGAATGTCGCGAAATCTGTTCACGATCAGAGTAAAGCATTTTTTTTCGTATCGATCAACTTCGCCCAGCAGGCTCTTGCACGCGTGTTGACCACGTTCTCCCGTTGTTGTTAAAAATTTTTCAGAGATCCTTCGCGAGAAGTCTCCCCCCCCTCGTTGCGAAACGAGCTTGCAACGAACGACACCGCGATGAAACGTACGTTAAACACTCTCCGTCGCACCTCGCAATTCTAGAGAAACCGAATACAGGAACGGGGGATAAAATCGTGGGAAGCGAGTGGATACAATTAGAAAGTGTAAAAGTAGGAAAGGGGATAATCGTTCGCAGCTTGCTCGTTCGGAAACGGTACAGCGGTGATGATCGATCGTGATCAACAAGCGTAATTTCCCTGATGTTGCGCGAGCCTGAGTAAAAAGCGACTATATCTCGCGTCGATACGCAGCGTGATCCCTCAGCTTCCCGCGTAAACCGTTAAAACCGTTAAAATTCGTGTTTAAAATCACTTAGAAACTTCCAATTATCGCGACAGGGTTAAAATTCCGTTTGATTCTCGTTTGAAATTTCGAACGTAAAAATTATATGCAAAAGCTGAACGCACGCTCGCGTTTCGAGGCGTTTCAAGAGTCCTCCGCTCGTTCTCTATCTTTCCTGTTAGTGGTTATGTTTTCATGCCGGCAACGATGATCGACGTTGATGATGTTCGGCGAACGATCTAATTTCTAACAAAAATCCTTATCAGTGTTCTAGGGACTATGCTTAGTACGCGTGATTCGCGACGAAAAGTGCTGCGTCGCCAGCTGCTCCTGTCACGCCACCAGCGTATTTGCCGAGCGCAGATTCGCTGTTGGCCTGTAATGCAGAAAATTTCTGTTGTATTTGATTGTTCCATCCCCAAAACACAATAGAATAGATGAACCAATAATTAATGACAATAATTACGATTAATATACACGTATCGTTATTAGTAGATCACGAATATTTTAAAAATCACATTCTAACCACACTTTGGTACAAATTCAATCCAAGTGGCACTCACAATTAACGTACACATAGTAATGCTGCTATACATAGCAGAGACATTTAAGAAAAATGAAAATGATAAATATATTGCGTCATTTACGTACTATACAGGAGCTAAAAATGTAGCGTATGATACTTACTATGAAAACACATCTCATGGAAAGAAAAGTAAGAGTTTAGTAGGCATGAGATTTCACGTACTGTGAAACATTAGCAGCTTTGCTAACGATACTGCCAGGAACGTACTTGCCCTGACTAGCTGCACTGTTTGCCTAAACAAGCACACACGGTATACACATGCAAAAAAAATAAGGTGTTAAACAGAAACATAAAAAGTGAGTAAAAGTGAGAGTAGAAAAAAATAAATAAATCGTAGGATAAATTAGATACGTTTTGGGAACACAAAGTGTATAGAATTAGGCGATAAAGGAAAATTGTAACAAACATTATTTGACCAAAGGTCAATAAGCATAGATTAAAAAAATGAACATAGATTAAAAAAATGAACAACACATGTGTAGAAACATATTAAAGTACAGAAGAAACTACGGAAGTAAAACAAGGGTAGCTAAAGAGACAGAATAACTAAAGAAGTAGCAAGCACAAGTTATTTACAATAATTTCAATGAAAAATGTAACTATGGGACACGTTAAAGTAAAATAGAGAAATATTAAGACGATCAGAGTTAGCAAAGAAACTCTAAAACAGTGAGACACGAAATCTTAGCCCTAATGTTACCTTAGCCCTCTTGATGAGTTCATCTTGGCCAGCTCCGATCTGGTCCTTCTTTCCTGCCCATGCACGGAGGACAGATGCCTGAAGAGCGCGACCGTAGCTGAAGGTGAGTGCCCAGGGTTTCTTCAGCGGGTACTTGTTGATAGCGTCCAAGTTCACGGATGCCTCCTCCTCGGACTGTCCACCGCTGAGGAAGGTGATTCCAGGCACTGCAGGTGGCACGGTGCGCAACAGAGCTGTCACAGTGGCGCCAGCGATCTCCTGGGGAGTTGCCTTCTTCGGGCAGCTCTGACCCGGTGTCACCATGTTCGGTTTCAGGAGGGTTCCCTCGAGATACACGTGATGGTCAGCGAGCGCCTGAAAACCATATGGTAAGATATCTTCCAAAAGCACAAGAAATCTAGGTTATGTTGCACACCTTGTAGACAGCGGAGAGAACCTCCTCCGTGACCTGCTGGCAACGAGCAAGATCGTGGTCACCGTCGGGTAGGATTTCAGGCTCGACGATTGGCACGATCCTGGCGCTCTGACAGATGGAAGCGTAACGAGCCAGGACATTGGCGTTCTCCAAGATGGCCAGTTTGCTCGGCGTGTCCTTCTTGATCTTCAACACGCACCTCCACTTGGCGAAGTGGCATCCGTCCTTCTTGTACTGGATGCAACGAGCCTGAAGGTCGTCGAGACCTTGGGTCGTGCATTCGTCGTCGGTGCCGAAAAGCGGGACGACACCCTTGTCGACCTTGATGCCCGGGAGAATTCCGCGTTGCTTCAACAGCTCGACGAACGGTGTTCCATCCTCGGCCTTCTGGTACAAGGTCTCGTGGAAGAGGATGACGCCGGAGATGTGCTGGCTGATGACATCCTGCGTGAAGGAACAAACCAATTCATAATTAGATTAAAAATAAAAATTAAGAGGGGAGTGATTGAAATCAGATTGAAATTATTTGCTCTGTTTGAACAGTACCTTGGCGGTGGTGAAAAGAAGCTGTCTGTACGCCTTACGGTTGTCCTCGGTGTTCTCAACGTTGATGTCCTTCAAACGCTTGCCGATCGTTGTCGTGGATTCGTCAGCAGCAAGAATACCCTTTCCAGGCGCGACGATCTGCTGGGCGATCGTTCTCAATTCTTCTTTCAGCTCAGGCTCGAGCTTGTCGTACTTTTCCGCAACCATTTTCTGCGAGAGACATTGGAATCATGAACACGGTTACGTATATACGAAAGAAACGAGTCAGGTTCGAAAAGTGCCACAAACGATTCGCAATTCCTCAATGTGATCGTTAAAAGATAAGAACGTTTGATTAACGAGCAATGACGACGAATCCATAACGGGAGCAACCAATCTTTTGGAATATAATTAATAGCCTAATAAATTACCACGGAGCAATTAACGAAGGAACTCTTGAGCGTGACGTTCCTCGAGTATGATATTAAAATTCTTGTGATCGTCTTGGATAAATTATCCTGTTGAAACATTATATATTAAGTCAACAAATATTGACTTGATCACCTAAATTAAAATTCTCATGTAAATTTTATTTAATTGCAAATAGAAAGGTTTCTGCCTCGCAAGTTATAACAGGTGACAATAGAGATAGAATTGCATCGTTTGAGTTATGGTGATTTTAAAATAACAAAGTGACATATTTTCTGGGACACCGTAATGTTAAAAGATGATATTGGCGAGTGCTTGGCAACATTGCTCTTTTATCGCTTCCCCCCCCCGTGTTATTTATCGAATCCACGTAACGAGACAGCACAATTTCAGGAGCAAAGACCTCCCGACGTTTCCATCCCTTTTAAGGCGCGCCTTTTGAAGCGTCGAAGGCATTGTTGCACATGAAATATCAAATGCCCGCTAAGGCTTCCGCCACGTAATTGAATTTCACAGTCAGTCCCCCATCAACGTCAATATTTCATAAAAAGAAAATGTTAGTCTGACCCATTTCTGTGCCTTCATTCGTTCCAACACTTTGACATCGAGCTAACAGGCCGCTATATTCGTAGCTAATACGACGCGAGGGTCGTCGATGTACCATACATCATTTATAGTTATATTAAGGCGTGAAGCCCACTGGAGGCGAAACTTGACTGATCTCATAATTGCAAATTAATAATTCAGCCTCTTGGAAACCAGCCTGATCGACTGCATGAAATAAATACAATAGAGAAAGTCGATGTTGCAACATACTGCTCTAAAACTAGTGTAGAAACTGATAACTGTTCAGTATTATAAAATTGTACTTTGAAGTAAAAAATAGTAAATGAACGTTACGAATAACAAATCTTGTCGAACGTAATTTGATTCTTCAAATGTTTGTTTACTAATTTATACTTTAAAAAGACGATTGTTTAATATTAAATATAAATTATCGGTTGATTCGGTAGTAATCACGCTAAATCACATAATAAAACGAAACCAAAGAATATCAATTTCTCTGACTGAGGCTTCGTTAAAAAGTTATTAAAAAATTAAATTAAAAAATTTCAAATCATTCTGGAAAAATTATTATCGGTTGCGGGGGTCAATTACAATCATTTTTGGTCAATAGACATATCCTCGAAATCCAGCACAGTTTTGAAAAAAAAATTCAGAAAGGTGGACAAATTTTCAGCAAAATTAAAAAATTTCAAATCATACCAAAAAAATTATATTTAGTTACAGGGGTCAATTACAAGGATTTTTGGTGAATAGACATACCTCCGAAATCCGACTCAGTTTTGAGAAAAAAATTCAGGAAGATGGACAAATTTTCAGCAAAATTAAAAAATTTCAAATCATACCGAAAAAATTATATTTAGTTACAGGGGTCAATTACAAGCATTTTTGGTGAATAGACATACCCCCGAATTCCTGCACACTTTCTAGAAAAAAATTAGAGAAGGTCCTGAAATATTTCGACGGAGGAAAAAAATTTCAAATCATTCTGGAAAAATTATTTTCGGTTGGGGGGGTCAATTGCAATCATTTTTGGTGAATAGACATACCCCCGAAATCCTACGCATTCTCGAGAAAAAAATTCAGGAAGGTGGAACTTAGTAAATACCTAGGGGAAAAATTTTAGAGGGAGATTCTAGAGACCAAAATAAGACGAAAATCAAGAATACCGATTTGTTGATGGAGGCTTCGTTAAAAAGTTATTAACGTTTAACGTTGCGTCTTCAAACGCGCACTTAGCGTATCTACATCGCAACTTTAAACGTTAATAACTTTTTAATGAAGCCTCGAACAACAAATTGGTATTCTTGATTTTCGTCTTATTTTGGTCTCTAGAATCCGCCATTAAAATTTTTTCCAAGGTTGACCGAACACCCTGTATATTATACAAATTGTTTAGATTTGCGTTCGTTCTACAGATTTCTGTCGCTCGACAGTATTGGTAGACCGTGTCGAAAATTAAATTCAACTAATTGCGCGCTACTATTGTTCCTTGAGCAACGTGCAAAACAATGGATACAATAGACGGCGAACGATCGTTTTCGCTTTACGTAAAATTTCCAGCTCGTTATCGCGAATTCAGCAGCTCGGAGTTACATGAACCGACGCATGCATTTGACGTTTGAGTAAACGTTTGAAAGAAGGGTTCCCCGTACTTTGGAAAGGGGTTCGTTTGCAAAGCCACGCAAAGCAAAACGCGCGTTCATTACGACCTTTGTATTGTTCCGTTCTTAATTAGAGATTCCTTAAATTGCGAACGATACAATTTCTACGAGGCTTCGAAAATATCGAGTCCCTTCGATGAAGAAATATTTTTTTATTTATACCTATTTCACAATTATAATATTACCAACTTATCGTATTGAATGATTAAAATGAAAAAAATGTCGAAATTTGTACGACACGTTAGCTTTAATTTAAACGAATAATGATCAACTTGTGCAATTTGCCTCGCTGTGCGTAAGTTTTGTGTTCAGCGATATTCCAGCAGAAAATGGGAGCTCGTTAATCTCGTTACTGTCTAACACGTAGTGTGCAGCAGCATTAATCTTAATCCAAAGAGATAGCATCCAAAGATTGAACTTAAGGACAGAGGGGGAGGGGGGAGAAGGCGAAAAGGGAAGTTGTAAAAGAACATCGTAAACAGACACATAGGTGGCCGTCGATAGTGGAAGCTCACCGGAGGTAAGCTCCTTGATAACTTTCTGACTTTATGGGAACTCGACAGACCGCCCGAGCACAGGTATAAAAGGCTTAAAGAAGATACAATGCTCCGTGTCCTCTCCAATATGGAATTATTGCCAGAGGAGATCGCGTAAAAATTTATTATTTACGACAGTCTCGAGGAATTAACTATGTTATGATATTAACACCAAATAAAAAATATAACGATACGAAACGATACCAAGATTTTTTTTTTAAGTAAATTCGTGGAACAATGTCTGCGTAAAGGTTACACCAATTTCCAATATGGCTGCAGATGCAGCGCAAAACGCGATACCACGAGTTACGTAATACGATAATTCGCAAATCTTCCTAGCTTTATGTCACACGGAATTATTATAAATTGATTACTCCGAGCATATTTTATATAACACATTACGAAAAGTGTTCTAGATTCTATTCTATATAAGGTTATCTGTAAATTATAATTGAATCGAATACGAGACCGAAATTAACCATTTTCGAAACTGAATGTAAAATGTATGGAAGATATATGTGTTGCGCTTCATTTAGCGTTCTTTATCGATTTTCTAGAAACTATTAAATAATTTTTAGAGACAAGACAAGCGACCATACGATACCCTTTCTCGTTCGATGAAAATAGATAACCCTTCGATCGATTTTCGAATCATTAAAATAAGCATAAGAAAACGTGACACGGGTAAAAATAGTAGATACTATTTATTAGTCAATGCCCCATAATATTCACAAAACTACTTGAAAAACTTCGATACTGCTGACTATATTGAAAAATGTTTCTCATAATGGTTGAATAGTTTTTCTTAAATTGATGCAATTAACTTTGTTTTCAACGTTCGGTGCAACGTTCCCTGAGCAAAAATACTAAACTACCCACGATGAATAATCATCAATTTAGAAGAGATTTTTTAAAAACAATATAAAAAGTCTATAAATATAAAAAAAAGCAATCTGGGAAAAATTTTAATGGTGAATTCTAAAGGCCAAAATAAGTCGAAAATCAAGAATACCAATTTGTTGATGGAGGCTTCATTAAAAAGTTATTAACGTTTAAAGTTTCGCCAGTACTGAATTTTTTTCTCGAAAATGCACAGGATTTCGGAGGTACGTCTATTCACCAAAAATGATTGTAATTGACCCCCGCAACCGAAAATAATTTTTCCAGAACGATTTGAAATTTTTTTTTTCCGCCGAAGAATTTCACATCTTCTCGAATTTTTTTCTAGAATGTGGGTAGGAATTCGAAGGTATGCCTATTCACCAAAAATGATTGTAATTGACTCCCGCAACCGAAAATAATTTTTCCAAAATGATTTGAAATTTTTGAATTTAATTGTTAATAACTTTTTAATGAAGCCTCCATCAACAAATTAGTATTCTTGATTTTCGTCTTATTTTGGCCTCTAGAAGTGGCCAAACACCCTGTATAGCAAGCTTGAATCTCAAAAACATCGGTCAATTTAAACGCTACGTATGTATAAATGATTTTCAGTAAAAATCAGGTTTTTCAAGACGATGCTTTCTCTCTTAAAAATATCTACAAACGTCCTCGACTTTTCTTATCCGGCCTCGGAGGTTACAAGGATATCTAACGTTGGCAAACCTTATGGATCCGTAAAATATTTTTATCCTCGTGCCGAATTCGAATTCCCGTGCGAATAAAGCGAAAATGAATAGCCCTATTCTCGTTCCCTCGTTAATGAATCAGAAGAGGCACGGGTCGCGTCGAGCCAACGGCATCAAAGATAGAATCTTGGAATCGGTTTTACTTGGCTCCTCGTCCCGCACCGCTGTACGAGGACCAAGCACAATCAAGCTTCGTATTTAATTTCACGAACAGGAATCCCGTCTTTCCGTGAAACTCGAGACAGTCGTCGGGTGCGAATGCACGCGCAGGAATGGCTGTAAAGCAGACGATGCGGACGAGAGAGTTACAAGATCGATAAAACGGGTACAATGAAACTCTTCATTCAGCAGCCGTCGTAAACAAGCTTCGGTACGCGCGAGCACGTAACTTGTAAATTATCGTAAAAAGCTATACACAGTTTCGCCCGAACAGATCGGAAGCCCATCGAGCATCCGCGCTATACGGTTTCCGGTATCAAAGTTTCAAGTGTCGTCACTCTCGAATCGTCAAGTACAGAGCACCAAACGCCTCGATACTTTCTCGTAGAAATTAAAAAACGGTTCAAACAAAATTACGAAGTTCGATTTTGAAGAAGAACGCATTAATATTCATAGAAATACATTCGACGTCGTTCAACTTTGCCTTACGACATCTTTTGAAAAAGGAAACTTCGTTCTTCCTTGTGGTTTTACTTCTTTCTCCTCGCGTTACAATTTTTACAAAGTCAGACGATCAAGAATAGGGATAGTATTCTGCACGAGTTTGGAATAAAAGTAAACTGATCTCTCGTGGATTTCTCGTACGAAAAATGGCGCAATTTACAACTATTATCGAAACGTAACGACGATAGAAAATGTCAGTCGCTCGCAAACGTCCCGAAAAGCTCGTAAAAAAATATGTACAACGTTGTGTTGTTTCAAACTCAATGATATTGTGTTCGTAAATTCGATGGAATTTGATAGGTTAACTCTGACGAAAAGTTTCAAGTCGACTGGAGAAACTGCGCTGGCAACCTTGGACGAGACGGCCGGTTTCATCGACGAACCGTCCATTTTCGAGAAAGGTCATCTTTAAAAAGTTTCCAACGACCGTTATTGAGTTCCTCCGCTCTATTTTCACGCTCCAGTTTGATCGAACGTCTCTATCGCGAGCGCGTTAACCGATAAAGACGGACCGTAACGGTCGTAGTTCTCACGGTGCCAGGCTCCGAAGACGTAATCGCGTTTACCCAACGTGCACACCCCCTCGAAAGGGGTGGAAACGGGCAGCACGAAGGCTGGCTCGCGAGTCGACGAAAGCATAACCCTTTGACGCACGATTCGAGAGATTTTTTAAAGGCATATTCAACTCTAGAATCACCGACAATTACAGTTACAATTACAATTAAGACAGACAGGCGAAGAAACGTACAATATGATGGAAACAAGTGTCTTTACAAATTTTCTTAGAAATTACGGTTAATTACGACTGATTTGATAGTTCCAGCGTTAATTTAAGTTCGTTAATGAACAAATCCATTTAACGAACGTTAACGCGTATTGATTTCAATATATCAGAGCTAGCAACACACAGCGATCGTGAAACTCGGTGCAAGGAACCGTAGGACAACGGGGGCGAGGTGACGAAATAGATTAATGTAGGTTCTCGACACTTGTCGCCTCTGAGTGACTCTTACCTTTTCCACGAACAATCCGTTGCGTCCTCGATCGTAAACAAATGCTGAGATCTCGCGAGCCCCGTCGCGACACGCGGTACGCACAACGACGATAAATATAATAGAACGACGACAATAATAATAAGAAGAAGAATACGTTCCGTCGACGTTAGTCCGTTCGGTGGTCCGGTGGACGACGATAATTGGCAAACACCTTCGATACGAGATACGGGGCGAGAAAAGATACGGTGACACGGTGAAACAAACCGGGCACAAGGTATCGTTGGCTGCGTGGTAGTTGCCAGGAGGTCCCAGCCGAGAGAGGACCCCTGCGTACGTGGTCCTTCGACTACATCTTTGCTCGTCGTGGATAAAATGGCGCCGGGGCGCGCGTCTCGCGCGAGCACGAGACGACGACTGGCTTTATCCGCGACCAGTTCACCCCGTCCAAGAGGCGGCAGGGGTACCTGGCTGCAGTGCAGTGTCGTAACTGCAAAACAGGGGGGTAAACCTCTCTCTCTTTCTCTCTCTCTGTTTGCTTTCGATTCTCTCTTCCTCGGTCGTCTTCGTCGCGCCAACGTTCGTTCGAATCCTCTTTCCCGCTTCCCTTCCCGCTCGACCACCCCCTGGGCTCATTGTCTGGCTCGTTCTTGTCATCCACGATCGCTCGTCTTTCTCTCGACCACTGCTCTACCCCTCTCTTCCCGCTCTTTCCTCTTTCCTCTTTTCCGTCAACCGGCGTTCCCGTCCCTCTCCGCCCCGTAGTTTCCATCCTTGTCCGCCGCGCTGCCTGTCGTCCATACAGCACGGAACAAGGGAGTGGGCTAGCCGCAATGCAGCACGCGCAGACGTTCTCGAGGCTACGCCTGTATTATCCCCCTGCGCACCCTGAATCCGTGACCTGAGACATCAGCAACGCCACGCGAGATACCGAGGAACCCGTACACGTCCTCACTCCCCCCCTCTCTCTCTCATTCCACCTACAGATGAATCCACCCTCGTAACCAGGGGTAGCCGCGTTGCTTCGTTTAAGAAAGGTTCGCTTAGAGACGCGCGGTCCGCGGACACGGACGAACGAGACACGCTCGAAGCTAAGTAATATTCGCAAAAAAACTGTTTCGAATAGGGTTGCTTGCCCTAATATGAGACACGTTCCTAATTTGGAAAATTGCGATATCAAAGAATCGTGATTTTCCCATCTATGTCCCATGTATGTCTATTCACCAAAAACGACTGTTATTGACTCTCATAAACGACAATAATTTTTTCAGAACGATTTGAAATTTCTTAATTTTGTCGAAAAATTTCACACCTTTTCGAATTTTTTTCTCGAAACTGCGTAGGATTTTGAAGGTATGTCTATTCACCAAAAACGACTGTTATTGACTCCCGCAAACGACAATAATTTTTTTAGAACGATTTGAAATTTCTTAATTTTGTCGAAAAATTTCACACCTTTTCGAATTTTTTTCTCGAAACTCCGTAGGATTTTGAAGGTATGTCTATTCACAAAAAATGCTTGTAATTGACTCCCGCAACCGAAAATAATTTTCCCAGAACGATTTGAAATTTTTTAATTTTATGGAAAAATTTGACACCTTCTCGAATTTTTTTCTTGAAACTGAGTGGGATTTCATGGGTATGTCTATTCACCAAAAATGTTTGTAATTGACCCCCGGAGCCGAAACTAATTTTTTTAGAATGATTTGAAATTTTTTAATTTTGTCAAAAAATTGGTCCACCTTCTTGAATTTTTTTCTCGAGACTGCGTAGGAATTCGAAGGTATGTCTATTCACCAAAAATGTTTGTAATTAACTCCCGGAGCCGAAAATAATTTTTCCGGAACGATTTGAAATTTTTCTTTTTAGTCGCAAAGTTTCACACCTCGAATTTTTTTCTCGAAAGTGGTTAGGATTTTCAGGGTAAATTTATCGACCGAAAATGATTGTGATCGACCCCCGCAGTCAAAAATAATTTTTTCGGCATGATTTGGAATTTTTTAATTTAATTTTTTAATAATTTTTTAACGAGGCCTCAAACTAGAAAATGATAGCAGTTCCCATTAAAATTGTTCTCATGGGTGGCCGAACACCCTCTATAGTAACAAAAGTAAACGTGTCCTAAACCGTTATTATATCTTAAATTTGACTGTTCCCAGTCAAAAGAGCATGAAATTTCCTCTAAATTCATACTATTTAAGTTTTTATCAAAGTTCTGCAAGCAAGTGAAACATGTGTATAAAAAAAAGTTTCCCATATTGGGGCAACTGCCTCTCCCATTTCAAATAATACATACTTTAAAAACCAAATAAAATAGTAATTCAGATATGAAATTAAACTTCGATAAATCAAATATTTTATCTAAAAAAAAAAACACTTTCTTTGTTGTGCTAGAGGATCTGTAATACGACCTCATTGTTTATAAGAATGAGGCTATACTCGAGAATTAAAATAAATTTTTCATACAATATTAAATAATTGTACTATTATTTTAAACCTATTTTAAATTCTTCAAAAATACTCATTACTTTCTTAGATATCAAGCCAACGCTCTCGCGAAACAGTTTATTCTCGAAGAGACTATCTTTTTCCCGCTCTCCGCTGTAATTTATTTCTTAAATTAAATTTACCGTAAAAACAGAGAGTTTTCCCTTTAAAACGATCGCAAAAAGATCGTTGTACGACCTTTTCTTGATACTTCAATATTTTTCAAAATGGATATACCCCGGTCGAGCGTGTCGGTAGCAAACTTTCGATTTTCTATTAAATTTTGCACGTTGCGACTCTCGTGGGGTCTCCGATCGTCGCTGGGATTGCGCGAAATGATGCATAACCGAATTTTGTGGAGATTTACGATCAATAGCGGCGACAGAGACGCGTTTTGATACCGTTGATGCATTTACGTTTGATATTGATACTCTGGTGTCGGATCACTCCGTTCATCGACGCGTTATATGTAAACGCGACCCAAGATAAAATGGAATTTTGGTGCCTCGTTCAAAGACAAAACGAACAAAGAGTTGACTATTGTGGATATTACGAGCTTGGAACGATTTCAACCACCTTTCAAGAACAGACTGCGTGGGGACCGCGGACGTAATGATTTATCATACGATAAATTACACCTGTGACTATCGTCTGTACAACTGTTTCAACTATAATTGTAAACAGGCTGTCGTACAACCTGCCGTACGTTGCGGTTATGTTGGATTTGACAGTAGGTATGGCCGCTGCTATAAAATAGGTCATACTGAAAATTCGGTGAATGATAGCTTGGAAATTGTCTGACCTGTTCACCGGTTAATTGGAAATATTCTTAAAGCTTCGAAGCCATCGGTCACGAGAGTACCACTTGTTTCCAACATGTACGATTCACTCTCAACTTTTTATCTGTTTTTTTTTGTATCGCAACATCGATCAACTGTAAATAATCGGAGAAAGATTGACACGGTGTACGGAATTAATGGAACTGTGGCGTCACCTTCCGAATTCGTCACCTCCCGTACATGTCACCAGAGGGCCACACAATGCAGTCGTCTAAGATTAGGGCCGTACGACCGTCGAAACGACGTGCGTTTCTTTATGTTCTTCCTTGTCTTTCGATTGAAAAAAACGAAGACAGACAAGATGAAGCGTGCATTCCTCTATGTCTGGCTCGACTGTTTTCAATCGTAAGACATGCAAAAACACAAATACGGACGTCGTTTCGACGCTCGCGTGACCCCGGGGTTAAGGCAGGTCCTGCTAGGAGACCCCTTTACTGACGAATCTGCTTTTTTGCTATCTTTTTCGTTACCTCGACCAGCGAAGCAGCGCCACAAAACGTTTACAGGCTGCTCGTTAGCTAAACGGAACTACAGGAGGAAACGTCGACGAAAGTTGTAGTGGGTAGCTAATTTAAAGTCACGTAAAGTTACGTCGATGGTATTACCAGTTGTTTACCGTGCCCTGCACGAACCGCTTTGTGCACTCTAATATCGCAAGAAACGCTAATACTTTTTCCGCAAACGTGCATTTAAGGAAGCATAACCTCCGCGTAAGCAGTATTTGCGATTAAGATTATGAAAATGAACAATACCGGTCCCGTATAAAAGCTTCGAAATACTCCCGGGAACTAACCGTTGATCCTACGAGGGAGATAGTTGCGTACTTCAACCGATTGAGATCTGTCGTTTAACCTCCAAAAGATGGAACGTTCGGATAGTGAAAGTGGGATATAAATTTCGTCCACTGTACTTATGAATTTGCCATTTTCCAAGCAACAATTTATTAAGAATAAATTTAATTTAGTATATTCCTAACAAACGGACCGTTCACCGATCGGGTGATATTTTCTCCGACAAAATGTTGATTCATCAATCTCGACAATCTTCTCTACCCTTCCAATTGATGTGCAGAAATTATACAACCAATTAACCATTATTTGTCCTATAAAATAAGACCATTGCAAAACAGTACTTTTATTTAATTTTAGTTATAATATGACATTCCTCATAATTGTATGTTAGCATATATGTTGATTTTAGGGCATCTGTAGCTGAGTTAGGTCTGGGGTTAGGTTAGGAGCCAGAGGGGGGGCAATATTTTATACTCTTGCTGCACATACTGTCTACTTGACCTACTCCTGCATAGTATGTGCATAAAAAAATGACTTTTATGCATACATGTTTAACAAATTAGCATCTGACTACCTGGCATCTATAATTTACACCATGAACACAGTATCGACAGTCATTTGTCTCTACCTGTGAACCTGTTAAAATATACTTAACCCTACTTTTTTACTGCAACTTTACGACAAGTTTAAACAAAAAATAAAATAATTTCCGGAAATAATGAAATGCATATTAATAATATACTGAATTAGATGAATTGAGGTCCGTTTGCTAGGAATGTTCCTTCAATTTATCTCAGGGGCTACTTACGCAAACAATTTTCTGAAACCGGAAACGCTGGTCGAGGCTTCTATCGTTTCTCCATGCGCGTCTAAACGGTTAACGTATGGAACGCCACCTTTTATTTCGAAAAGCATTTACGAGGCACGAGTAACTCTTGAAGAATGCATGGAAATGAAAGTCACGTTTCGGAAGAAATACGTCGGCGAGGCGTGTAGGTGAAAGCTTTTTGGCCCGCGTAAATGATAAAGAAGCTCCTCTCGCCAAGAGGCCTGAAAATTTCACGGGAGTCCGGGAGAAGTCTCTGTTCCCGAAGTCGAAAAAGCTGGGGGTAAGTAGATCGTGCATCATCGTAATTTATCGAACCCTCAGATCGTTATTTAAGTCTTTCGCCGCGCCAGTCTAACTTTCGCGGGCACGTGAATGGCTGCAACTTATCTTTCTTTAAATAAAAACCCGTAGTCTGGACGAGTCTCGAACTAAATCACGCAACCTCCGGCTAAATCCGCGGCCTGAACAT